GGTGGCTCGATGCCTGGTAATCCAGCACTTTGGACTGAGTGCGGATACTTGAGGAGGCAGTTGAGACCAGCCTGGACCACATGGGGGAATACAACCACTCTTACTTAAAAATACAAAAAAAAAGAACCTAGTACTATAATAATATTTAGCTGGTTCCTTATGTGATGTGTACCTGTAATCCACCGCTACCTCAGGAGCGCTGAATCGGAGGCTGAGGATTGAGAATCGCTAGAACCTTGGAGGCACGGAGGTTGCTGTGAGCTGAGAGATCGTGCCAGTTGTCGCACTCCAGGCGTGGTGACGGAGTGAGACTCATGTCATCAAAAAGGAAGACCCCCCCACAACCAAAAGACGTGCTTATATGTGAGTAGTGTTTTCTGTTCATTTCTGTCATTTGTATTTGGCTTTTTAACCAGTTCCTGTGTATTTGTTCTTGCAATTTATTGGAAATTCTGCGTTTGCTGAGTTCTCTTGGCACCCTTGTCTGCCCTAGTGAGGTCCTTCACTGGTTGAATATTATTTTTAAGACTCATTGAAGTAAAATGGAATCATTTGTTTTGGCAGTTTTTCTTGTTTTCTAATTAACGTATTAAAAGCTTTGAGTTTTCCTCTAAGAACAACTTTAATCATTACCCATGAATTTTTACACGTAGTATGTTCATGATTATTCAGCATTTTTGCAATTTCAGCTATTCAGTCCATTATCTTTCTCTATGACTTTCTTGTGAACTCTAGTTTTTTAAGTGACCGATCTGTTGAGCCTTCAGAGCTAAAAAAACAAACAAACAAACAAAAAGCCATTCTTGAGTTGAAAATGCCCTGCCAGAAAGTGAGGCCAGCCCAGAGGTAAGTGTGACTGAGGGAGGTGTGCGAGGTGGAGTGTTTGCAGCCTCATCGGACCCCAGAGCCCTGACAGTGAAATCATCTCCCCCATTCATCCAAGGTGGGGAAGGCTGCCTGTCACCCGCAGCAGAAACACGTCACAGCCTGGGGCTGGGGAAAGGCTGCGGAGCTCTGAGTGTGCGCATGCCTCCACTATCAGGCGTGGGTGGGTCCGGAGCAGCCCATCAGGTCAGGTTCAGGGGAGGGCTGGGTAGTGCCTGCCCGAAGGGGGTTCATGCACACGTGGGTGGAAGCTGGAGGGTCGCAAACCTCCGGAGTGGAACTCATCCAAGGAAAGCGTTAGCATTAATAATATTAAGAAAAACAGCAGCCGCTGAAATCTCTTAAGGAGGCTAGTTCTGTGCCAACTACTGTTCTAAAGTCTTTGCAGGTATTAACTTGTTTAATCTTCACAACAGCCTACATGACAGGGACTACTAGATCCTGAAGTGCAGAGACTGAGGCCCAGAGAGGTTAAGAAAGGCGCCCAAGGTGATCAGCTAGCAACAAATAGAGCTGGGATCAAGTCCAGGGGTCTGAGCCGGTCAGAGCTGGGTCCCTCCTGGTAAGTAACCCCCATGCTGTCCTGCCTCTCCAAAGGATACTGAGCGAAGGCTTCCCCTTTTTGGCAGAGGAGACGCTCCCTCTGCTGCTCCCACAGTGAACCCAGGTTCCGGGTTGTCCTTTCCTGTCTGTTTGGTTGACTGACGCCTTGATTCCTGGCTGGGCGGAGCTGCACCCTCTTGGGACTGGCTGTTTTCCACTTGTTTGGCCTCGAGAGAAGGCCCTCAATACACCACATGCCATTGGGATCTCTAGTTTGTATCAGAAAGCTCAACTCAGACTGGCTTCAGCAAAACATGGTATTTTATTGGCACCTGAAACTCAACTGTCATGAATGATTTGCTCCAGGGTTCAAACGATGTAACTATTTGAGCCCTTGAGACTTTTTTTGAGACTTGGCTCCTCTCTCCTCTTTTCTTGGCTCTGTTTCCTTGGTATTGGCATGTTTTCATCCAGACGCTCTCCTCATGGGCACAGAATGGCTGCCAAAGCTCCTGGGGCTACATTGTTTTCCATTCGTGTCCAGCGGGAAAGGCTGAGTCTCTTTGAATTACTTTCTTATGGAAGAAGGGGCCTTGTTGATTTTGATTGGCTTGGGTCCTCATTCCAAAACCAATCACTGAAGCCTGGTAAAATGGAAAATGCTGACTGGCTTAGAAAATAAGATCCACCTCTGGATCTAGGGGAGCCGGTCATTTCCTTGAAATGTGAAATGGCGAATGGAGAAGAGAACACATTCGACAAAGAGGAACGCTGGTCCTTCTGGGGGAAGAGCAGACCACGGATTCCGGGGAGGCAGCCAGTAGGTGAGGCCGTGCCCTGTCCTGGCTGCCATCGGACATGTTTCTCCCTGATTACTGAAGTAACACATGTTCATGATGGAAAATTGGAAAATGCAGGGAAAGACAAAGAATAAATTGCAAACCATTCCTTATTCCACAGTTCAGCGATAACTACCAGTAGCATTTGTGCCTGTCCTTATGTTTCTGCTATATTTCTCTGTATTTATATATATATATATTTTGTTTTTTTAAAAATTTGTTTTTACTTTCATGGGTACATAGTAGGTGTATATATCTATGGGGTGCGTGAGATGTTTTGATACAGGTATTTTATGCATAATCACATTATGGAGAATGGGGTCTCCATCTCTTCAAGCATTTATCCTTTGTGTCATAAACAATCCAATTACACTCTTTTAGTTATTTTAAAATGTTCAATTAAGTTATTGACTATAGTCACCCTGTTGTGCTATCAAATAGTAGGTCTTATTCATTCATTCTTTCTTTTTTTTTTTTTTTTATTGAGATGGAGTCTCACTCTGTTGCCCAGGCTGGAGTGCAGTGGCACAATCTCAGCTCACTGCAACCTCCACCTCCCTAGTTCAAGTGATTCTCATGCCTCAGCCTCCCGTGTACCTGGGATTATAGGTGCCCACCACTATGCCCAGCTAATTTTTGTATTTTTAGTAGAGACGGGGTTTCACCATGTTGGCCACGCTGGTCTTGAACTCCTGACCTCAGGCGATCCACCCACCTTGGCTTCCCAAAGTGCTGGGATTACAGACGTGAGCCACCGCGCCTGGCCTCATTCTTTCTATTTTTTTGTACTCATTAAGTGTCCCCATCTCCCTGCCCCCATCCCCCACTATCCTTCCCAGCCTCTGGAAACCATCCTTCTATTTTCTATGTCCATGAATTCATTGTTTTGATTTTTAGATCCCACAAATAAGTGAGAATGCACAACATTTTTCTTTCTGTGCCTGGCTTATTTATGTACCTATGTTGAAAATAAAGCTTGGCTCTAACTCTATTTTTTAAAATTTGCTTTTCACTTTAAAAATAGAAGGGGAAGACTTTATCATGTCATTAAATATTCTCCCACATCATTAAGTTTAGGACTGTATCATATTCCATCTTATTAATGGGTCATCATAGGCCAATCATTTTAATTTTCTTGGAGAAAAAGCAAGTTTTGGTTGCATCTGTTCATTCATTCATTCAGCCTGTGTTTATTGAACACTCCCAGCATGCGCAGTGCTGGCTGCTACCCTGGGTCCTGCCTTCCCCGTGCCTGGCCCGAGGAGGACGGGGTCCTGGGTTCTGAAGGCCAGCCTCCGCAGCCTGTGGAGAATGTTTCAACACCACCTGTAGCCTTTTGAACTCCACTCCAGTCATTGCCGATAACGAGAGCGATGAGCCTCATTCTTCTATGTGTTTTTAGAAAATTATAAAACATCACCATAAAAAAATTAAGAAGCACCAGGATGATTCAACCACCAGCAGAGTTTACACTTCCGACTCTCATCCCACAGCTGCCTCCCCCGAGGAAATCAAATGTGCTTCTCATTAGCGGAGCTTTTGAAGAGAAAGCTGAGCTCTGGGCTTTTTGAGATAAGGGAAAAGAGGGAGATGAGGCTGTTCAATGTGCAGAATGAACGGGTGGTCGGGTCTGTGGGAAGCAGGAGGCCTGCAGGGGGAGGGGATGGGGCGATAGGGAGCATAAAACGTGGTCCTCCCTCTGACCGCCTTCGCGTCAGTCCCAGGGACTCAATAAGCCAGTTTCTGGTCATCGTATTAACTTCGTGGAATGGTTGAAAATATCCCAGTTCTAGAGAACATGCCTTTTCCCCCAGCTCCGCCTAGAAGCATCTGGGACCTGGGCTCTGGTCAGTGACCTGGGTTTGAATGCCAGCTTCACCTGTCCTTGATGGGGAACGTGGGGTGTGTCTGAGCCTCAGTGGCTGCAGCTGAGATATGGGAATAATATCACCTACCCTAAAGGACCATAGAGAGACTCAAACGACACGGAGGTGCCCCCATCCTGTCTCCTCTATCATGGACCACTTCTTTGAATGGGTCCTTCCTTTGCCAACCTCTCAGTCTTTGCCCTCTATCTTGGTTTGGTTTCCTCACTCCTAAAAGCAGACCCTGAGACCAGCATTGGAGGGAGGGGTGTGTATTTGGGAGGTGATTCTGGAAGCACCTGGCGTGGAGAGGTGAGCCTGGGAAATGTCACTATCAGGGCAGCTGACCCCTCTTCCCCGGGGTCTCGGGAAGCAGAAGCCTGGGGCATCCCACCGGAGGGGTGAGGTTGCTGGGGGCTTTCGCCGCCACCTGCTCAGCTCGCAGGTTGAGTGCCTCGCCCAGGGCTGTATTTCCCAGTACTCTGGGCCTGCAGATGTCCTTGGCGCCCTGCATTGCCTGGGAATTCCCTTGATGGGCACAGGGCTGGTTCAAATCCTTGCTCGTTTAGTGAGCACAGCTGAGGAAGAAGCTGGGACAAAGGCAGGGACCCAGGAGGGAGATGGGAGGCCACTCACGGGACGGCGGCCTGCGCTCTCAGTAAGTGGCAAGATTTGATTTCCTTCTAGCATCCTCAGCACTTCTTTGAGAATTTGCCTGTCTCAGCCGTGCTCAGAGAAAAAAGGATTTTCTTTTCCTTCCTGGGGCTGGGAGTGTTGGTGGCAGTGTGTGAGAGCTGAGTGGGGCGGTGCTGGCCTGGATCTCCGGGCCATGGAACCCTCAAGGGCTTGAGACCACAGCTGTCCTGCGGTAGGGAGCGGGGGGGACTCCTGCCGCGGGGACACTGGTGATGCCGAGTCTCATCCAGGGTGGGCCGTGGCTTCCTCTGCTCCCGCAGCCTGTGCCTTAGTGGTCTCTGGCTGCAGCGTGGAGCTTTAGAGTGGGCATATGGTTTGGAGCCAGGAGAAACTCTGCCCTGTGGTCTGGAGTGTTGGGAAGACCTCCTTCCTGCACCCCTTGGCCAGTACTCTCTGCACCAATGGGGCTCAGGCTCAGAGGACTTCCCATGGGGGCCAAGGGGCAGGTGGCCACGCCTGGACTCTCGAGGGCGGGATCTCTAGCAGCTGCCTGACCCAAGGAGGAGCCAGATGAAAGGAGGACAGCAAGGGGCCAGGGGGAGGGAGCTGAGGGTGGGGGAACACACTGAGGACACCTTCCCTGGACTGTGACTGCCCTGGAGATGGGTTCCAGGCCCACGAGGCAGCCTTGTGAGAGAAGAAGGAGGTCTGCAGGGCTGGATGTTCCCAGGAACCTCCCCGTGTAGCTGGGGAGTCAGGGGAAGCCTTGAGGGATCAGGTCCTTGCCCAGAACAGGCACCCCAGGCCTTGGGCCAACAGGGCCAGTGATTGTGGTCTTCTCTCACTTCCAGGGACCCTTCTCCACCCTCTTGTGCTTACCCAAGGGTTATCTTGGCTGTTCAATTGCATTTTTTTTTTTTTTTTTTAGATAGAGTCTTGCACTGTTGCAAGGGCTGGAGTACAGTGGCGCGATCTCGGTTCACTGCAACCTCCACCTCCTGGGTTCAAGCGATTCTTCTGCCTCAGCCTCCCAAGTACCTGGGATTACAGGGGCCTGCCACCACGCCCAGCTAATTTTTTGTATTTTTAGTAGACACAGGGTTTTACCATGTTGGCCACACTAGTCTCCAACTCCTGACCTCATGATTCTCCTGCCTTGGCCCCTCAAAGTGCTGGGATTACAGGCGTGAGCCACCGCACCTGGCCCTTCAATTGCATTTTAATAATCTCTTGGTCTTTCTGATTTAGTTGGGGAGGACACCCTGGGCTCTCAACGATAATGCAAATATTAAGAAGACTGAAATAATTAACACGTAGTGATGATGATAAGTCTCTTATTACATGGCCTTTAACTGCAGAATTCTTTCTCGTGAATTCTCATTTAATCTTCATAAAACTCCAGGCAGTTGGTATTTTTCTCCATTTGTTTTTTTTTTTCTTTTTTCTTTTTGAGATGGGGTTTTGTTCTGTCACCCAGGCTGGAGTGCAGTGGCGCGATCTAGGCTCACTGCAACCTCTGCCCTGTGGATTCAAGCGATTTTCCTGCCTCAGCCTCCCAAGTAGCTGGGATTATAGGCACCTACCACCATGCCTGGCTAATTTTTGTGTTTTTAGTAGAGATGAGGTTTCACTACGTTGGCTAGGCTGGTTGTGAACCCCTGACCTCAGGTAATCCACCT